TTGCAGCAGCTGCTGCGTTCAGGGTGCTCCGGGTTTCTCCTCAGGTGCACCTCGCGCGCTTGTTTTCAGGGCTGGGTTTCTTGCGAGGGTTTCTTGCGGCCGCGCCCGCACTGTATCGGCATCTTGTTAATTTGCCCTGCAGTTAAGGCTAAGTCGACGAATATTCAAATATAAGAAAAGATAGTCTGGGGGCGTTTTTCGTCAAGCATTTGTGTGTGTGTGACTATTTTTGAGTGTTGCTTGATTTTCGATGTTTCGTCCAAGATCCGTCTGTGGGATGACGCGCCCGACCCAAGTCGATGTGCTGAAATAAGGATCACTTTGGGCTCCGGAGGGGCTCCGGTTTCCGCGCCGTTCCTCAGATCTAGGGCGGGAACCCGCTCGTGGCCGAGGCGCGCCGTGGCCAGAAGAGACCCTTTTAGATCCTTCGTCAGCAGAGTCCACAAAAATAGTCAGGGGACGATTGTTCTGTATTGTTTGGACTGTTCTTGAATATGTTTTGACCATTCTTTACTTCTCGTCCAAATCCGCCTGTAGGAGGACACGCCCGACCTAAGCCTACATTTTGGGGAGCTTCTAGAGGCTATCTGGGACATGCCTGGGGCCTCTCAGGGGTCTCTCTGGAGCTTCTTGGGGCCTCTGGGGTGCTCCGCGGGTGCTGTCTGGGACGTGGCGACGGCTCCCCCCGCTCATTATTCGATCCAGCCGAGCAGCCGATCTGCCGATCAGCCGCTCTGCTGAGCGACTGGCAAGACTGATGGGCTGCTCGGCGGCTGATTTACTGATTTGCTAATCGGCTGTTCGGCGGCTGATGTCTCCCTATTTACAGCTGTGCGTAGCCCGCCTAGCTTTTAACGGAAGAGGTTCGCTCTCGCCCCGCAGATCAAAAAACAAAAAACTGTTCGGCGGATGATCGACCGGTCTGCCGCCGCTCGGTTGCTCGGCCGTTTCGATAGTGTGATCGGTTGATAGGAGGACCTGTTCATTTGATCGACCGGTCGGCCTGACCGCTCGGCTTGCACATGATCGGTTGGTCGATGGTTCGGCCAGATTTTCATCAGCACGTGATAGGGATACTGTTCGAATGGGTCTTGCTCAGATGGTCGGACAGTCGGCATCGCCATCACCCTCATCCTCTCAGGTGGCCAGGGCCGTCTCAGTTAAGTTCGATGTTGGCAAGCCCACTTGCAGCTCTTAGCTGAGGGTCCTGGGAGATGATGGGTTCAGTATCTGACCCCTACCATATCAGGCTTCTGCAGTGACCTCTAAATGTAGATGTCGAGCCGTACGAACATCTTATACGTCCTGTTCCTTATCAGCATGTTCATCTCCTGTCTTACCTCAAATCTCGTTCCTGCGTCCTTCTGCTCCTTTGCATCTTCTGCCTCCCTCCCATCCACCTCTCCCGTCTCACCAGTAGCTCTTTTTCTGCCTTCTCCCGTCGCAGCCTCGCCCGGATGTTCCTCATACTCGTTTCTCTCCTCCTCCCCCTCCTCTTCTTCCTCCTCCTCCTTCTCCTCCTCGTCCTCCTCCTCCTCCTTTCCTCCTCCTCCTTCTCCTCCCCCTCCTCCTCCTCCTCCTCCTCCTCCTCCTCCTCCTCCTCCTCCTCCTCCGTCCTCCTCCTCCTCCTCCTCCTCCTCCTCCTCCACATCCCTTTCCTCCCACTGATGCTCACCCCCTCCTGTTGGGCGTGGTCGGTCCGATCCTGTCTCGGGTTCGCCTGTTGGGCGCCCTTCGCGGGGAGGCCGATCCTATTCTCGTCCCCTCCATGGGTAATACTTGTTTCAGTGAGGTGTCGTACGCTCCAGAGATGTGTCGCACACTCCCCTGGGCATGGCCTCATGGTGAGGTGCCGCACGCTTTGGCGCCAGTTCGAGCCCCCTTTTCGTCGTCCAGACTCAACCACCACCCTGGACACAGGAGTCCGCCCTTCTGCGGTTGGCGCGGCAGCATTTTGGCCTCCAGAGGATAGCGAGAAGGGAAGTAGAGAGAGAGAGAGTGTCAGTCAGGTGTGGACGATTTGCGCGGCGTGGTGGCGTTGCAACTTTCAGAAGACGAGCCAGCCGTGCAGCGAGCCACCCTTTGCAAAAGGTGGGGACCGCCGACGTTGACCGACATCCCCGGCAGGGCGTGACCCGATCGCTACAGGGTGGAACCAGGGGAGCGTGGGTGCTGCAGCTTCTGTGGCGGTTGGCATCTTCACCGTGTCTGGGGGCGTCTTGGTGTGGACACGTGGGCGCGCACAGGGCGGTTCCCTGTTGGTCGTGCTTCCGCGTTTTGAGTCCGCAGCGCTCGCGGTGGAGAGTGGGGCGGTGGGCGGCGGAAGCGTCGGGCACGGCCGTCAGAGGCGATGGGGGAAGGAACGAGAGAGAGAGAGAGAGAGAGATATATATATATAGAGAGAGAGAGAGAGAGAGAGAGAGAGAGAGAGAGCGAGGGCCAGCGAGAGAGAGAGAGAGAGACAGAGAGAGAGTGAGAGAGAGGGTGACATCTTGGGGCCCTCCTGGGGCGTCGCGGTGGTCGCTTGGTTCGTCTTGAGGCCATCTGGGGCCGTCTCGGAGGCTTGGGCCGCGCTGGAGGCGTCTCAGGGCCATCTTCGGGTCATCTTGGGGTCATTTTGGCGTCTTGGAGGCGTCTGGGGACCATCTTGGAGGCCATCTTGGAGACGTCATGGACGGACAAACAAACTCCCACGAGATGCGCCTTTTCTGAGGGGCCCGCGGCTTGGGCCGAACAGCATTGGGATTTGTTTTTTTCGTGGCTCAAGAGACGGGGGTCAACGCAAACGGGGGTCAGTCAGCTCGCCGGATCTTGCAGGATCCTGCAGAGTCATGGGCGCACCGACCCGGGCTAGGGTGCAGGAACCTGCAGGATCCTGCAGAGTCCTGCAAGGCCTGACTGACCCGGGTCTGGATTGACCCAGGCCAGTAGATCACCACCCACCAAACCACCCCAACCCAACCCGAAGGCCCCAATTTGCCCTCCATTTCCAGTGGGCGTGTCGGGGAACATTGACAAAAACACACATGGAACCCTTACCCCCACCAACCCGAAATTTGGATCTTCGGGTTGGGTTGGTGTGGTCTGGTAGGCAGTCAGTAGAGCATTTTGATTTTCTTCTGGGCGCCAAGAAGAGCCGTAGAGCCTGGCACGCCAGGCACCCCTCTCCGCGGGCCATGGGCGCGGCAGCTTTGGGGTGGCATCCGGCCCAGCCCGCCTCCAGCTCGGACCTCCGCCTGTCGACTTCCAGCTGCAGTTCCACCTGACTTGGGAGGGAACACAAAAACGAGCGCAGACACAGATAGTCGTCGATCCCCGGGAAAGTATGGAGAACAATGGGAAGTGGAGGGGGAGACGAACATCCAGAAAGTATATGGCAAAACATGGGGAGTCCTGGGATCTGTGTCCATCTATTTTTGTGTCCCTGGCCCCCTCTACATCCGATCGACCTCCAGTGTCGAGCCTCCGACTCCCAGCACCCACCAACTGTCGACGCTCACCGCCCTACTTCAGCCACTCCCGAGGGCTCTGGGAAAAACCCGCTGCCCTCCCAGGGCCAGGGCCAGTCCCGCCGGACCGACATCGCGAGCTGGGTCGTTCGCTCGCTTGCCCCCGTACCTGGGTCGTGGACACAAGGCCTCCGAGAACTCTCCTCGGGGGCCTCTTGAGGGCCTCCTGGGAGCTTCTCTGGGTGCTCTGGCAGTCTTCTTGCAGCTCTGTCGGGCGCCCCGGGCCCCTGGGGGCCTCTTGAGGGCCTCCTGGAGGCCTCTTTGAGGCCTGTCCCCTTCTTGACCCTCTCCTGGCCGTCTTGCTGGCCTGTTGGGCCCTCTTGGGCTGTCTGAGGGCGATCTTCAGGGCCGCATGGGCTGTCTTGGGCGCCCTCCAGGCCAGAAAGGAGAGCCCGCGAACACGACAGCAAGACTTGCGCGTCATGATTTGGGCCAGCGCCCCGGGCCCTCAAGACCGCGTAAGGCACGCCCCCCGATACGGTTCCAGGACGGGCCTGGGGAGCATCTGAGCGACGCACACAAAAAGGGGGCTGTCTGCGCGTACACTGGCGCGCGAGCTGCCCGCGTAAGTTCGCGCGTGAGCGCCCTCGTTTTCAGTCTTCAGTGCGGCGTGCTGCGCGGGCGGCCTCGCGCAGGCTGCGGCGCACTTGCGGTCGCAGAGCCATCTCGCACAAGACCTTTTTTCTGATCGTCGCTCGCCTGCCACGCTTGGGGCCATCCATCACGCGAGGGGGGGGGGACAGGAGAGGCCCCCAGGAGCGCCCCAGCGCGCCCCGGGAGGCTCGGGGCCGTGGGCCCCAGGAAGAGCGCTTACGATACAGTGGAGTCCCATGCCAAGAAGCACCCCGCTTGCCTCCAGGGTGCCCTGGGTTTCTTGGGGTTCGATGGTTCTGCCATGGAGAGCGCAACGTTTTCACGCCAAGAACTCAAGGGACGCCCTGGGGTCTCAGGGCTGGGTTTATCTTGGAAGGCTTCTTGTGGTCGGGCTCCCACCACTGCAAGACCTTTTTTTGATCGTCGCTCGCCTGCCACGCTTGGGGCCATCCATCACGCGAGGGGCGGTGGGAGAGAGGAGAGTCGCCCGCGAGCGCCCGAGAGCATAGGAGAGGAGGAGAGGAGAGGAGGAGGGGGAGGAGGGGGAGGGGCCAGAGCAGGAGGAGGAGGAGGAACGGCGGATACCTCGAATGGGGCCTGAGGAGGAGGAGGGGCCAGAGCAGGAGGAGGAGGAGGAGACAGGAGGAGGAGGAGGAGGAGGAGGAGGAGGAGGAGGAGGAGGAGGAGGAGGAACGGCAGGCTCGCGGGCGGATGCAAACGGCACCGTGCGGCTCGCCATGCCCGAGCACAACACCGCATAGTAATCACTGTTTGCCCCCCGCCGGAGCAGAGGGTGGCCCAGGCCGTTCTCCCCTGGGCCAGGGAGGTGGTTACGCGTGGCGCCTCGCTTGCCCCAGTCCCGGACGGGGGTGACACCTGACAGCGCCTCCTGTGCCAGTACGGTGGTCGCGTGTGACGCCTCGCTTCCCCTGGGTCCCAGGACTGGATGACGTGCGACGTCGCCTGGGCCAGGCAGGAGGCGTGTTGTGTGGCAGCTGTCCCCACGTGTCCTCACCTGGTCCATGGATCTGTTGATGCCCGCGTGAGTACTGAAGCCTGTAACCGGGTCCGCGCTGGGTTTTTTGTTCGCTACTTGAGGTTGCCAAAGGGATCCCACGCTGCTCACACGACTTCAGAAACCCCAGCTGCGCACCCTGGTGGCTCACCAAACAGCAGCAACGGGCAGCATGTCGCGACTTCTGAGATGACGCGCGTGTTTGGGGTCGATGGCTTTGCCATGTGTGAGGGGCCATCGGAGTGTGGCGACTATGGGTGCTCTCTCTCTCTCTCGCTCTCTCTCTTCCTCTCTCTCCCTTTTGCAACGCTCTCCCCCCTTCTGTCTGAAAGTTGGGGTGGACTTGGGGCGGCGGATCAATGTGCTTGAGTTTCCCGCAGACATGCATTCTTTAGAGCTCCCACGCAACGCCTCAGGGAGTCGGTGGCCGTGGCTCCAGCACTTCGTCTCGCCCTTCTGTCTTGATTGTTTCTTGAACAAACCTTTGGGTGGTGGGGTGGGGCGAATCGTTGCTTCTACGTTTCCCGCACGCCTCGATTCCTCAGCATCCACGCAGCTGCGCCTCAGCGACGGGTGGCTGTGGCTCTCTCGATCAGAACCGAACAACTGGAAGAAATCGTCGAAATCCCTCGAGGTACCACCTCTTCCTCCTCCGCCTCCCCCTCATCCTTCCCCGCAGCGTGAGCTTCCCATGGCGAAAGCCATTCAGCACATCGGAAGGACCCGAAAGCAACTCCGAAGCCAGCCGACACCATTTGAACAAGCCGCCTCTTCCCCCCTCCTCCACCTTCGACAGCGTGAGTTACCCCCCCCCCCTTCGCGCCGCTTGCTCGGCCCGCGAGGAGGAGAAGATCTGGCGGGAGCTTGACGGGGCGAAGAGGCAGATGACCAGAATCGAGGACGACGCCAGTTTTCGATTCGTTGTTTTGCGACCGGCCTTCGCCGCTGCGCTTCGCTCCCTGCGTGGCTCGAGGGGAGCGTTATTCTGCACAGCTTCCCCAGGCAGTGCTCGCACTAGGGCGTTCTTACGTGTCGCCTTGCCAAGGAATTGGATGGTCGGTCGTGCCTGGATTTCGCCCGAGGGCCTGGTTGGTGGCCGCCCGTGTGCGCCGCCAGTGTGCGCCCCGCGCGCCGGGTGGGCGAGCCAGGGTTTTCGCCTGCTGCCCGCTCGTGGGCGCCTCCCTGGCGCCCCGCTTCGCTGGGTGGGTGGGCCAAGGTTTTCGCCAGGTGCTCGCTCGTGGGCGCCACGAGGGCGCCCCGCTCGCCTGGTGCACCACATGGCTCGCGCCACACAGCTTGCACCACATACGTAAAATGCGCCACACAGCTTCCGTCACATACAGTGGAGGCCCATGCCAAGAAGCACCCTGCTTGCCTCCAGGGTGCCCTGGGTTTCTTGGGTTTCGATGGTTCTGCTATGGAGAGCGTGACGCTCCCACGCCAAACGTCAATGGACGTCCTGGGGTCCCAGGGTTGGTTTGCTTGTGGCAACGCACAACTTGCACTGATGCGCCATGCACATGTGCCCGTACGGCCTTCAGCGCATAGCCCGCACCACGCATATGGAGGCACACAGCTTGCATCACACTGCGTTCACCCCATAGCTTGCACCACATAACCCGTACCATGTTGATGACACCACGCAGTTAGCACAACATATCGTTCATCACATGTCAAGCTTGCAATGCAGCACCGTACACGTAACGCACGACGTAGCTTGCACCGCACGCATTGCACATCGAGGGTGAATTATCTCTTGCTGCTTTGGGTAGTGTCTAGCTAACGTGTGCGTATTCATTTGGAGTAGGATATGGAATACGAGGGGAAGGACGGGACTCATTATATACAATACCTCCCATCTTTTCTTGGGTTGCAATCGGTGGGATGCCAGAGCATTTTGTCCGTTCAGGCGAAGCTGCTCAAGCGAGCTTCCACTATCTGACAACAGCCGAGAGGCTATGGCTATTGCTCAACCGTGGCTGCTAGAGGAACCGAGGCGCGATGCGACTTTGGTGGGGCGGGGCGGGGGATGCTCTCTGGAGGGCAGCTCTGCTCTCCCCGAGCAGTGCCTGCTCTCGGGGTGTCCTTCTTGGGTTCTGGTCGCTCCTCCTCCTCCCGCTCTCTCTCTCCCCCTGCTCGCTCGCTCGCTCCTCCTCCTCTTTCTTCGGCATGCCATGGGAGCAAGCGTCCTTCTCCTCTTCCCCCTCCTCCTCCTCCTCCTCCCCCTAGCCCTCCTCCCCCTCCTCCTCCCCCCTCCTCCTCCTCCTCCTCCTCCTCCTCCTCCTCCTCCTCCTCCTCCTCCTCCTCCTCCTCCTCCTCCTCCTCCTCCTCCTCCTCCTCCTTCTCCATTCCTTATCCTTATAAATAACGTCTCCCTGTCGCACCTCGAGGCCAGTTTTTTAGGGCGGGCGCGGCGTTTCGTTTGAGACTTCCTGATTCTGAAGCCTTACAAATAACATCAGTTCACACATGGAGGAGGGGTGGTTTTCAAACTGTGGCTCTCGCCTCAGCGCCGCGCACATTCGTTTTAAGAGTTGCCAGGGATTTCACGGATTGAGGGCGGGTTGTTTTCAAATTGTGGTTCTCGCTTTAGCGCCGCGCACATGCGTTTAAACAGTTGCAAGAGTTTCAAGGATTGAGGGGCGAGCCGTTTTCAAGATGTGGCTCTCGCCATAGCGTCGCCCACATTCGTCTTAAAACATGGACAGAGTTTCACGGATTGAGGTGTGTTCCTTTTCAACATGTGGTGCCCAGGTTAACGCCGCGCAGCTTCATTTTAAGCATTGCCAGGGTTTCACGGATTGAGGGCGGTTCTTTTTCAACATGTGGTTCTCGCTGTAGCACCGCGCACATTCGTTTTTAACATGTGCAAGGTTTGTTCGGATTCCCATCATCAGCGTACCCAAATGCTGTTTCTTGGAAGGATTCAGGCTTGTGAGGGCTCAACAGTTACGCCGATTTGTTGTGTTGAAGTCTCAGGAATGATATTCTGGCACGATTCAAGATCGCCAAGACGCAACAGTCCGGTTGATCCGTGGCGTTGGAATCCCGAGAACATTGTGTTGGCATGTTTCAGGGTATTAGGCCCCGCCCTCTCCGGCCGCCTGAGGCCCCGCCCGCCTATGCCCTGTCTCACCAATTAGAGCTGTGCGTAGCCCGCCTAGCTTTTAGCGGAAGAGGTTCGCTCTCGCCCCGTCGACCAAAAATGTTTCAGGGTATTCAAACGGTTGTTTTCCAACCATGCAATTCTCTCAGTGGTCCTCCTCCTCCTCCTCCTCCTCCTTCTCCTCCTCCTCCTCCTCCCCTTCCTCCTCCTCCTCCTCCTCCTCCTCCTCCTCCTCCTCCTCCTCCTCCTCCTCCTCCCCCTCCCTCCTGAGGAGCTGGTCGCAGCCAGCCCCGGTCCTGGTCGGTGCTCGGCTGGCGTCCGCGCTCGGTGCCTTCTGGCTGGAGTCCCTGTGTGTGCTCCCAGGCTGGACCTAGACGGTATCTGGGCCATCTCGTCGGCCGTCCTGTTTTTCGTTTTGTTTTGCATTCAAGACGGAGCGAAGGCACAAAACGAAGAAGAACGGAAAACAAAACAAACAGAACGAGCAGCACCGTTCAGGTTCAGCCCTGGCTTGTTCGCCAGATTCCCTTGCGTCGCGATAGAGCACGACGAGAAGTTTTTTCACTACTCTCGGTCACTGGACGCTCCCGCCGCTCCGCCGGGGAGCGTCGGGGAGCGACTCGGGATGACATATCGGTGCCCGGGAAGGGGTCCAGACCAGTGGGGGGACTCCAGGCTGCCTAGATGGGGTCCGAGTAGCTGGGGCCAGAGGAGCGCGCCGCATCGCCAATGCATCGTCGATGCGGCTCGATGTGGAGCCCGATTTGCTTCACGTCGACGTAGCCGATGCATCGCCGACGTCGACGATGCATCGCCAGTGCATCGCCGATGCATCGCCGATGCATCGCCGATGCATCGCCGATGTATCGGCGATGCGGCGCCATCCTCCGACCCCATCGACTCGGACCCCATCTAGGATGCCTCTAGTCGTGAAATACTGTGGGCATCGAATGCCTGAGCCTGGTTGGGCCACCAGAAACCTGCCGACTGCCCTTGGAAGCTGCCAGCAGCTCCCGGGGAGCCGCCGAGGGGTGCCCGAAGAGCGCCAGGGGGCCCAGGGCTCTCTTCTGAACCCGTTGGGCGTCCGAGCCCCATTCGGCCCCCGAGGGGACCCACGATCTGCGGGGGTTCGCCGTCCTGCCGACCAGCGGCGAACCCTCCGCCAGCGTTCAGCGTTGTGCGCCGCCGACGACCCAGAATCGGTCGATGCCAAACGATCTGACGTTTCGGAAACACGACGCGAACCTGCCGTAGGGTCCCTCGCGCGCTGGCGCGCGCGGCGGCATGGTACTCTCGCTGAGTGCGGTGCGGTGGGAACGTCGTGCGCGCCTGGGTTTGTGGCCACCTCCCCCGCGCCCCGTTCTCAGAGGTCATCCTTGCCTAGATTGAGTGCCTGGACATTGGCACCACCACTAGCACAGAGTGTTGCCTCCGTGGGGGGAAGAATCGTTCGATGATCCTCAGGACGAGTACTAGCCCAATGTGTGTTTATCCCGTTTAGCCCAGGCGGTAGAGCATTGCATCGCCTGCGTCGTATCGAAAGGCCTCGAAGGAAAGGCACTCGTTGGGGCTAACACACGTTCTGAGGATCATCGATCGGTTGAGGGCCTGGACATTGGCACCACCACTAGCACAGAGGGCTGCCTCCACGAGGGGCAGAATCTTCTGCCCGTGGAGGCAACCCCCTCTTTGGTCGGCGTGACACGGAACTGCTGCAGCCCGCTCCGCGTCTGAGCGGGCTTGGCTCCAGCTACTCTGCCGGCATCGAGCCCCCGC